CAGGCAGGAAGTCATCAGGTGGACCTGGTTGAGTAGTATTTCATAGTGTGTATGTACCACATTTTCTTTATGTAGTCACCAGCTGATGGACGTCTGGGTTGATTCCATATCTTAACTATTGTGAATTCAGCTACAGTAAGCCTAGGGGTAAAAAGAACTCTTTTATATGCTGATTTAATTTCCTTTAGATAAATTCCCAGGAGTGGGATGGCTGGGTCAGATCTATTTTCAGATTTCTGAGGAATCTTCATATTTCTTCCATAGTGGTTGTACTAGTTTACATTCCCACCAGCAGTGGATTGGGTACCTTTTTCCCCACATCCTCACTGGCTGGAGCCAGGGAACTCTACAGCGCTCAAAGGTGGGTCGAGAACCCAGGGTGACACCACGTTGGGCATAGTAGATCTCTGTTGTCAGCAGGGGGAGGGTATGATCACCCCTGTTGGTGTAATCGCAACCTCACTTCCTCTCTTCCAAGGTGATCAAGCCCAGGGGTTAGCCTACAGTAGGTACAGCTCCCACCCACACAGGCACGTGAACCACACAAAGGATCTGTGTGGTCCTCAGTGTGAGCATGCAGTCCTCTGCAGTGACTCACCCCAGGCAGTCAGGGAGCTCTGAGTCAGACACAGTGATTGCCCAGACACCCTCGCCGTATCGTGTAGTCCCAGAATTCCCATAGACACAGCGAACAGGGAATCCACTCTCAGCCCTGCAAGCCTGCCCTGTCCTGGGAGAGAGCAGAGGCATTCCCAGAGCCAGCTGCCTGTCAGTACTTCGCCTTGGCAGTTTGAGCCCTGGAGACTCTGATGGGCTGAGGGGATGGGAGCACCTCACAGTCCTAAATGGGTGCCCAGTCCCCTGCCAGCTCTCCAGCCAGACCCAAAGTCAGTGGAGAACTTGGGTTTTCTCCTCTGGTTAAATCTCCCTTGGTGCATATGAGAGCCACTGTAGCCTCTACTGGCGTTAAGATGGTGCTGTCTCCCTGCTGGACACTGGGCACCCTTGTCGGAGGTGGGGAGAATGAAATGTGCTTTTCCTTCACTGTGTTAGGTGGGTACCCTGCCCCTGCTAGGGCTCCAGGCCAGACTGAGAGTCATTGTGGTCCGCTAGGTTCTCCTGCAGGCAGTGTCACCAGTGGCACAGGCTGCCCTCAGAAGCTGCGTCCCCTCTAGCCCCTGGGGGCAAGAGTGATGGATGGATGATGTCCCCCCTCGCTGCTGCCTGTTCACGCTTTCCACACTGATCTCCAGCGTCTTTCTTCTTTCTGTCGAACTTCTGCTACAAACTTCTCTCCAACTCTCACTTGGGAATGCACCTCCTCCGCTTTTCTTCCCATGGTCAAAATCAGCACATCTTCCTTATTCAGCCATCTTGGAATCCCCCTCCCTGCTTCTGTAACACACTGCCTGCTTTGGATCTCTGCCTATCTGATAGGAATCTCAGATATGACATGTTCGAAACTAAACTCTTAGTGCCCTTCTGAGCCTCTCCCGTCTTTAGTCCTCACTCAGAAGTTGTGTCGTTGTCTCTCCAGTTGCTCAGACAGAAATTGTAAGACTTGTGATTGATTTTTCTTTTTCCTTCAACTCTCTGTTGGCATTTCCAGCAAGTCTGCTTCTAGAATCTCTCTCTCAGCTATTCTCTGCACACTTAATACTACTGTTACATGGATAAAACCATTTAATAGTTAAATCCAGACTACCATCATCTGCTGCGTTCACCAGTATTAGAGCCTTCTAAGACTCTCCTCCTGGTTTCTATTCTTGTCATGCTGATAATCTGGCTTCTGTATAATTCAGATCCTAGCACTTATCTACTCGAAAACTTCCAGTGGCTTCCCATTCCACCTAAAATAGTTTTTGCTGGGTATAGCATTCAAGGTTGGCAGGAATTTTCTTCTGTCATTGTAAAGATGTTGTACCATTGTCTTTCCCTTTCTGTTATTGCTTTTGGAAGGCCAACTGTTTTTTTTTTCCTTTGAATTAATGTGCATACTTTGTCCGCAGTCCAAAAGTCCCCTGTCTGCTTTTAATATTTTATTGGGGTTGGCATTGTGATGCAGTAGCTTCAACTGCCTCTTGCAGTGCCACCATCTCATATGGAGCTTCAGTTTTGAGTTCTAGCTGCTTTGCTTACAATCCTGTTCCCTGCTAATGTGCCTGGGAAAACAGTGGAACATGGACAAGGTGCCTGGGCCCCTGCCAGCCACGTGGGAGAACCAGTTGGGAGTTCAGAGCTCCTGGTTTCTGCCTGGCCTAGCTCTGGCCAGAGGCCATTTGGGCAGTGAACCAGCAATGGGAGCTCTCTTTATCTCTGCCTGCCCCCCCCTCTAATTTTCAAATAAATAAGTCTCTTTTTAAACATGATTTTCTTTGATTATATTCAGTTTTACCATTTTGTGCCTCTATGTAGTTTTCTTTATTTTTTCTAATTGCAGTGTGTAGATAGTTCCTTGAATCTGTGACTTGGTAGCTTTTGTTAGTTTTAAAAAACTTCAAGCCTCTATTTCTTCAAATATTGCTTCAGTTCCATTCCCTCTCTCCTCCCATTTCTGGTTATCAACTTCATGCATTTTAGACCTTTTCACTAAGGTGTTTTCTGTGTCATTCTCCTTTTTGTTTTCCTCTCTGGGCATTAGTCTGGATATATTTTTGCTGCCTTGCCTAATCCCTAGACTTCTCTTTTCCTGTGTTTAATATCCTTTTGAATTCCTAACTTTGTCCTTACATTATTCAGTTTTAGAATTTCCATTTGAGCCGGCGCCGCAGCTCAATAGGCTAATCCTCCGCCTAGCGGCGCCGGCACCCTGGGTTCTAGTCCTGGTCAGGGTGCTGGATTCTGTCCCGGTTGCCCCTCTTCCAGGCCAGCTCTCTGCTGTGGCCCGGAAGTGCAGTGGAGGATGGCCCAAGTCCTTGGGCCCTGCACCCACATGGGAGACCAGGAGAAGCACCTGGCTCCTGCCTTCGGATCAGCGTGGTGCGTCAGCCATGGCGGCCATTGGAGGGTGAACCAACGGTAAAGGAAGACCTTTCTCTCTCTCTCTTTCTCTCTCTCTTTCTCACTGTCCACTTTGCCTGTCAAAAAAAAAAAAAATCCATTTGAGTCTTGATTATAAATTTTAGTTCTTTGATATAATTTTCAAGCTTTTCATCTACATCCTGAATATTATCATAAATCTTACTTATCTGTGCATCTCTTTCTACTTTTTCTCTTTGCCTTTGATCTGATGCATGGTGATTTTTGATTAAATGTCAGGTATTTTATGTGAAAAATTAAGGAGGCTATATATGAAAGCAAGTTTCTACAGGAGGATTTAATATTCTTTTTGGTTGTAGACATTATTGGGTAGGGATATTTACAGCTTCCGCTTAATCCTAGAGCCCTTTCATCCTGGAAGACCCTGCCTGAGCTGCAGTCTTGGTCCCTCCAGCGCTATAACTGCCGAAGACTTTGGTCAGCTTTTTAGTCTCCCTGCTGCTGCTTTCTTCTGGGCTCCTGTGTTTCCGCTTGGTTTCTGTGCACCTAGGAGAGCTGCAGGAAAATTGCATACAGAATTTTTGACTCATTTCCCCAGTATCTCCTTGATTTGCTGTCACCTGGGCAATCTGCAGCTCCAACCTCTCTCCTCAGTCCAGTAAGGCTGCGTAAGTCCCCAGTGGCTGCCTGCTCCTGTTGACTGTTCATTCTTAGCTTTGAACCAGCAAATTCCTTGGGGGAAAGAGGAAACCAGTCCCAGGCACCCAGGGAGGAGACTTCCTGATTCTGGCATCCTAGTCCTTCATGTCTTCTTACTTGCCTTGGTTGCTTTCTGTCATGTGCTTTATGTAATTTTGCCAGCATTTCATTTGTTCTCAGTGGAAAGGAGGTCTGATCCTGGCTATTCTTCTGTGGCCAGCAGTGGAAAGCTTTCATTGCTCTTAGGATCAGGACTGGGTGTCTTTCTGATGGCACTAAACCCATCCTGGCCTGCCTCCCCCCATCTCCCTTGTACCCTGTTCCTCACATCCCTTATGCAACAGTCACAGTGCATTTTTTTTCCCATGGCCAGTTCCATTATTTCATTTGTTATAACAGAAGAGGCTTCCCTGCCTTACTCCCTGGGTAGCCCCCAGTTACCCTGTTTTATGTTTTTCATGGCACATTTCAATTATTATCTGAAGATACTATGTTAACTTGCTTAATTTCAGTGTCCCCACTGCAGTATAAACTGTGTTTCTGCCTGGTGTGTGGTAGACTCTCCTTTTTTTTTTTTTTAAGATTTATCTTATTTATTGGAAAGGCAGAGTTACAAAGAGAAAGGGAGAGACAGACAGATCTTTCATTCACTGGTTCACTCCCCAAATATTCCCAACAGTCAGGGCTGGGCCAGGGTGAAGCCAGGAGCCAGGAGCTTTTTCTGGATTTCCCATGTGGGTGCAGGGGCTCATTCACTTGAACTATCCACCACTGCTTTCCCAGGTGCATTAGCAGGGAGCTGGATCTGAAGTGGAGCATCTGGGACTTGAACTATTACCTATATGGGATGCCTGCATTACAAAGTGGCAGGATAACCATTATGCCACATAGTGGCTATAGAGTCTCCATAAATATTAATTGCATAAATGAATGAATAAATGAATAAAATAGGTACTTGATTCTGGAAGGGATTTTTCAAATCTTTTGAAAATGTCAGTGGGGCATAAGGGATCAGTTTTCTTTGCCTTAGCAATATTTTTATATGGGATAGTCTATAAAGTACCACTTACATATATTTATGGTATAATCATGACTAACATTTTGGTCATCCTGATGATCTGATCTTGAACTACTTTCTAACATAAATAGATCGTTGCATATTCATTACTGTACTAAAGTTAATTATATTTTCAAATACTGTAGAATATATGATCTGTGCTATCATTCAAAGTATCTCATTAAAACTAAAAATATGAGTTTGCTTTTAGTCTAACCTGAGATGACTTTTTAAAAAAATGACATTTTATATCTTTATTTAACAGGAGTGGTTTTTAGGAAAAGCATTGCATGATGAAGAATCCACAATAATTCACCATTATGCCTTTTCTGAAAATCCTGCCATTTTTAAATATCCAGACTTTGCTGCTGGCTGGGCCCTCAGTGTTCCACTTGTAAACAAGTAAGAATTCATGAGCCTTTGTGTGTGTGTGTGTGTGTGTGTGTTGATCAACTTTTATTTCACTGAGTATTATGACTGATGGTTCTTAGGATGTGAAATGAGTTTTTCAGCCAGAGGCAGAGTGGAGCAGGAACCTGAGCCTGTGGCTGTCACTTACGAGTCCCCTAAGGCAGATCACTCAACCTTTCTGTACTTCTTCTTAGTCACCTGCAAAATAAAGCAAGTCATCAGTTGTGAGACTAAGTGAGAACACCCAAGTGCCCTGAGAACTGCACAGGCAAGCCTCATTGCTATTGTGTGGGGACCTCATTAGCCACAGCCATGACTTCGATCGCCAGTGAAACAATGAGCGTGTGACATGGGAGGATGCGTAGAGACACACGGCCAGGCATGAGGACTGATGGGGAAGGCACTGGAGGTGATCCTGCCTGGCCTTCCAGGCGTATAACCACAGTGATGTGTTGTTAGACATGGATAAAGATGACTAAGTTGCAATTCAGGAGAAATACGGCTGATGACAGGCGCTCTCTTAGTCTGAATATTTTACGTTCATTATTCTGTGTTTTTGTTCTTTAGAGAATGGAAAGTCAATAAAGCCTCTGTGGTCTTTCTATCTTCAGAGAGGGCTTCTGTCATTTCTCACGTTATATGTCTTGTTTCTCAGGATTAGAGTCTTGAAAAATGGATGTACAGGGCCATAAATACCTTGTCATTTATTGCTGCCAAAACTTCGCGACTACTCCCTTTCCATGTGAAATTTCCCTATACTCCCTACTCTCCCAAAATCTCTTTCCAGTAATTCTGTGAGCTGTCTTAAGGCCTGAATAAATGCATTTTGTGCTCAAACCAGCCAAGTGGATACTTTTGTCTCCAACTGAGACCCTTTACGTATGTACTCAGTTGTTGGCTGGGCAAAGGTGCCGTTCTCCCAGGTCAGCCCAAGAGCATGAGAGGATCTGCAGTTTCCCCTCCATTCTTGGAAGAGTTAGGGAGGACACGGAGGGAAGATGGGAAGAGGTAGTTATTATTCCCTTCTCACCCTCTGCTGCCTTGCCGGTCTTTGCTCTTTGTATGGAAGAGGAGGATGGGTTGTGTCCCTCGTAGTCCAAGGTCATATTTATTCTAGAAGTAAATGAATTTTGGGGAACCGACGTTGTGCAGCAGGCATTCCTACATGAGTTCAAGTCCTGCCTGCTTATCTCCTCTTCCAGCTCCCTGCTAATATGCCTAGGAAAGCAGCTGAAGGTGGCACAAGTGCTTGGGCCCCTGCTACTCACATAAGAGACCTGGAGGAAATTCTAGACTCCTGTCTTCAGCCTGGCTCAGTCCCGGCCATTGCAGCCATTTTGGGAGTGAACCAGGGTATGGGAGATTGATCTCTCTCTCTCTTTCTCTCTTTCTCTCTTTCCCTCTCCCTCTCTCTCTCCCCCAATCTCTCTGTTAGTATGAATAAATAAAATGAATCTTTAAAAATTAATAAATAAGCTTTGGTTTGCTGCAACTTGAGACCTGGAGCTGCCAGACATTCTTTCCTCTGGGCCCAGCAGCCTTGCCTTCAGGGCTAGTTTAGTTAGTTTTGTTTTATTTGGATTTTTTTTTTTTTTTTTGACAGGCAGAGTTAGACAGTGAGAGAGAGACAGAGAGAAAGGTCTTCCTTCCGTTGGTTCACCCCCCAAAATGGCTGCTACGGCCGGTGTGCTGCGCCGATCTGAAGCCAGGAGCTAGGCGCTTCCTCCTGGTCTCCCATGCGGGTGCAGGGCCCAAGGACTTGGGCCATCCTCCACTGCCTTCCCGGGCCACAGCAGAGAGCTGGCCTGGAAGAGGAGCAACCGGGACAGAACCGGTGCCCCAACTGGGACTATAACCTGGGGTACCAGCACCGCAGGTGGAGGATTAGCCTAGTGAGCCACAGCACCGGCCTTTATTTGGACTTCTGCAAAACAGAGGCTATGTGCTGTGTGTCCTAGGTTGAGGTGCTGGGCTTTGTCCTTTTAGGTTTCTTCCTACCCCTTGACCATAGGAGGCTCTTCTAGGACTTCTCACAGCATGGAATGGCCTGGTCAGACTGCTCCCCGAGACAGGCTTTGGCGCTGTGATTCCTATGACTTGGGAGTTCTCAACACTTCATAAGCCTGCTTCTCTCTCTCATGCTCTGTAGTCCAGCTCAGTCCTTTTTTTTTTTTTTTTTTTTTTAAAGATTTATTTTGGAAGAGTTACAGAGAGGTAAAGACACAGAGAGAGGTCCTTCATTGCTGGTTCACTCCCCAGATGGCCACAACGGCTGGAGCTAAGCCAATCTGAAGCCAGGAGCCAGGAGCTTCTTCCATGCCTCCCACACTGGTGCAGGGGCCCAAGGACTTGGGCCATCCTCTGCTGCTTTATAGGCCATAGCAGAGAGCTGGATCAGAAGTGGAGCAGCTGGGACTAGAACCGGCGCCTATATCGGATGCCGGCGCTTCAGGCCAGGGCTTTAACTGCTGCGCCACAGTGCCGACCCTGAGCTCAGTCCTTTGAGAAAGGGACATGCGCAGGTATCACCTGTGAAGGGCTATGAGTGCAGCAAGTGTTCCCTCCCCCAGAGCTAGGGAGGAGACCCTTTAACAGCAAGCCTGAAGATATAGCCATTAAAGTGAAGCCAACAGACCTCCATTCTCCATTCCTGCTCTGATCTAGGATGCCTCTCAGCCTGAAGTCCAATCCTGGAGGTCCAGAGTTTCTTTTTATCCCCGTCACAGTTTCAACATCTTCCTCAAGCAAAGAACTTCCTGGAGACCTCCTGATAGCAAATTTAATTCAGGTTTTTTTTGTTTTTTTTAAACTTTTATTTAATGAATATAGATTTCCAAAGTACAGCTTATGGATTACAATGGCTTCCCCCCCATAACGTCCCTCCCACCCGCAACCCTCCCCTTTCCCACTCCCTCTCCCCTTCCATTCACATCAAGATTCATTTTCATTTCTCTTTATATACAGGAGATCAGTTTAGCATACATTAAGTAAAGATTTCAACAGTTTGCTCCCACACAGAAACATAAAGTGAAAAATACTGTTTGAGTACTAGTTATAGCATTAAATCTCAATGTACAGCACACTAAGGACAGAGATCCTACATGAGGAGTAAGTGCACAGTGACTCCTGTTGTTGACTTAACAAATTGACACTCTTGTTTATGGCATCAGTAATCACCCTAGGCTCTTGTCATGAGCTGCCAAGGCTATGGAAGCCCCCTGAGTTCACTGACTCTGATAATTTTTAGACAAGGCCATGGTCAAAGTGGAAGTTCTTTCCTCCCTTCAGAGAAAGGTACCTCCTTCTTTGATGACCCATTCTTTCCACTGGGATCTCACTCGAGGAGATCTTTCATTTAGGTGTTTTTTTTTTTTTTTTTTTTTTTTTTTTTTTTGCCAGAGTGTCTTGGCTTTCCATGCCTGAAATACTCTCATGGGCTTTTCAGCCGGATCCGCATGCCTTAAGGGCTGATTCTGAGGCCAGAGTGCTGTTTAGGACCTCTGCCATTCTATGGGTCTGCTGTGTATCTCACTTCCCATGTTGGATCATTCTCTCCCTTTTTGATTCTATCAGCTAGTATTTGCAGACACTATTCTTGTGTATGTGATCCCTTTGGTTCTTAGTCCTATCATTATGATCAATTATGAACAGAAATTGATCACTGGGACTAGTGAGATGGCATTGGTACATGCCACCTTGATGGGATTGAATTGGAATCCCCTGGTATGTTTCTAACTCTACCGTTTGAAATAAGTCAGCTTGAGCATGTCACGAATTGCAGAAGTATCTATTTATTTGGAATTGGTTTTAGCCAGGTACATAGAAGTACTCTTTTCTGAACACATCTTTGACTCCTAGTATTCCATTGTAGGACAGTTCAGCTCAGTTCTTATTATTTGAAATGCTGGCATTAAAGTATTGTCTATTCTATAAAACCTCTTGGCCTCATGAACTCCGGCCTCTGACCTCCTTCCTCATAAGGTGTGGAGACACCCAGAGCACTGGCAGGTTCTGTTGGTTCTGGCTAATGATCCCCTCATATCTACCTCTTGTTCACCGTGTGACTCGCTGCTGGGGGCTTTGTGGGCCCTGCTTATAGGTTGCACACTAGCCAAGCACATTGGCCAAGGTGTTAGCCTTCTTAAGGGATGCTTCATATTGTGGTTTACCTGGCATTCTGTAGAGGTAGTTTGCAGGAGACTGCAGCCTCCTGACTTCCCTGTTTTGTTTGTGAAGTCCTTGAACACTTCCGTTGACAAGGGAATGAAACCAAGTGCCCAGTTTTCCCAGGGGTTTCAGATCTCCCTTCTAGTTAAGCTTAACACCATGTTTTACTGAGATAGGAGACAGTTCCATGTGGCTTGTCACTGCAATGTGTAGGTCTCAGTTCCTTGAATTTCTATAGCAAAATACTGGCTTATAAGTAGCAGTAGGTTATGTCTCACCATTGTGTAAGCTGGGAAGTATAAGGTCAAGGTGATGACAGGTTTGCTGTCTGGTGAGGGCCCATTTCTTGGCTCATGGACAGCACCGTCTTGCTGTGTCCTCATGATGGAAGGGACACAAATTCCCTTGGGCCTTGTTATAAGAGCACTAATCTTATTTATAAGGGCCGTACCTCACTACCTTATCACTTCTCAAATATCCCATTTACTAATAAGGTCACTTGGGGATTAGATTTCAACTTGTGAATTTTAGGGGCACACACACATCAAACCATGGCAGTAGGGAACAGTGGGTAAGAGAATGAAAGCCAAGAGACCAAGCTTTTGCACATAGTTCAGAAAACTCCCAGCACTTCCCCCATTATGTGTACTTGATAGGAGGAGGCACCAGAGGACTTCTTGCATTTTGAGTCTTCTGCTCTTAACATGTAATAAGTTAGTACCTTCTTCCTACCCACCCTGTCCCCTGCCAGCCAACACGAAACAAAATAAAAATGTAGACTCTATAATATAGTACCAAAATTGAGATTTTAGTTATCTTAGAGCATATTTCCTTTTTCTCCCAAGGCAGAGAAATAATCAAACAAATAACATGGTATAACCCATCTGGCAAAGCAGCTATCTTGTGTTCAAGATGTGGTGTATTTTTTTTTTTTTTTTTTTTCCCAGGAGAAATGGCTTTATTTGGACTGAGAGACGGGAAACTAGAGGCCCAGAGATAGCATCTTTGGCTGAGGATGTGAGATTACATTCCAAAATAGTACTCAGAGCTCATCAACCAAATAGACTGCACTTCCCAGCAGCCTTGCAGTCGGTACAATCAATGAAAGGCCTGCTGGGGAGCAGACCTGCTATAGGCACACCCAAGTGTGCCACCATCACAACAAAGGCACAGATTTTTTTTCTTTAAAATTAACATTTCCACAGATACCACCCCCCAGTCAGAAGTATTACAAAAGAAGGAAAAAAAATCACATTTTTCAGATCTTAGTCTTCATTATCTTCAGAAAACAGTTCCCCTGCTAAACTCTCAAGCTATAAGATCTATCCAAGCGGCAATAAGACGGCCTTTGCTAGCCCACGGCAATCCTCTTCCCACTGGGCCTAGCCAGTCAGGGCTGAACAGCTCGGGTGAGTGAGGCTCGGGTGGAGGTGGGCTGGGGTGGGGGCCAAGGGCATCTGAAGCTTGATGGGAGAGTACAGCTGGTGAGACTGGAGGGGAGGGTCCGGGCCCTGTGTTCAGTCAGAGTCACTGCTGGAAGAGGAGGAGGAGGAGGAGTGTTTGCCATGATGCTTGTGATGCTTGTGCATCTTCTTGTGCGCTTTCTTCATTTTCTTGTGCATCTTCTTATCCATCACCACTCCTGGTCCTACCATGCCAGGCGCCAAGGGATTCACAGGAGGCATGCAAGGGCCAGGGGGTGGGCATGGAGAGGGGTGGGGGCCTGGGGGGTGGCATCCTGGATATCCTGGGTTGGGCACAGGATGGTGGGGCCCACATGGAGGGAAAGCTGGATTCCCATGTTGGGGCCCAGGAGGACAGGGAAGGGGGCCCGGAGGAGGAGGAAAAGCTGGATTGACCTGTGGTGGACAGGCAGGGTTGGGGGGATATGGACTTGACCCTGGATGCCCGGGGTTGGGATTCCACATGTTCGGATGTTGCCCGCAGCCTTTCCACCACCGTCAGGACGCGATTCCTCCTTCTTCCCAGTCTCCCAAATGGTTTTCTATTAGGAGCTTTTCATTTATACTTCAAGAAATTGGTTTTATACTTAGAACTAAAGAAGGCATAAAGTATCCACTAACCCCATCAACTGCAAAGTCACATCTTTCCTGTTGGTTTTCCCCAATTCCAAAAATGTCCTGTTGACTTTATTTCCTCCTATTGTTGGGAACTATAGCAGCATATTTTGGATACAAGTAACAGAAAGCAATTCTCATTGGGTTAAGGGACTATCCTTGCTCTAATTGGAGGTGAGGGGAGTTGGCTGATGTGTGAGGGGTTCTTGAGGACTTAGGTTCTCTCTGTCTTTCCTATCTGTAGTGTACAGTGTCTTTTTATTCTAAATTTGGTTACTTTTGTAATCAGTAAGGAATACTGATTTCCTAACAGTAGAGAACCTGCCTGCAAACCTCGGAAGGTGAGTGGTTATCCTTAGTCTGGTTGGGTCAACTTCAGGCCTGGACCATTAACAGATTCCAGGGTATTTCAGGGCCTCAGTTGGCCCAGAATAATCAGGTTCTGATACCGGAGCCATTTTATTTTAGTTTTAAATATTTATTTGAGAGGCAAAGAAATGCAGACAGACAGAACTCTGATAGTACATTCCTCGGATACTTGTGACGGTCATGTCTGGGCCTGGCTGCAGTTGGGAACCGGGAACTTAATTTGGCTCTCCCACATGGGTGACAGGAACCCAGGTACTTGCCGTCACTGCTGCCTCATAGGGTCCTCAATAGCTGCAATCAGGAGCCACAGCCAAAAATCAAACCTAGGCTGTGGGACGTGGGCATCCTAACTGGCTTCCAGCATTAGTCTCAATAATTAATCAAAGTTAGAATTCATTAGGAAGAAGGAAAGGAAAACTGTAAAATGTAAACAGCCAACAATGTCCATTATGGGAATGTTGATTCTCTTTGTCTTCTTTCTTGGCCACCTTCTGAGGTAGGGCAACAATTTGCAGTTACTTCAGTATTGTTTATTCTGTCTGAATCTCCAGGGCAACTGGTTATTAAAAGACAGTTTGTGACATACACTTTTGCACACTGTTTCCCACCAAAACTAGTATTTGGCCTAGCAATCCCACATCAGTGAGTTTTGAGTCAACATTCCCCAACAGTTCCTGGTGATCCATCCACATTGTTGTCTAACATTTCCTGATGATCCATCCATATGATCAATAAAAATAATACTTGCATCTTTGGAGGAACTCTCATTAATTTCCAAAGAGGTGATTTCTTTAAATGTGTTATTACAAAACGGTCATAGAGCTTTTCTCCTTCCTTCTACCCCTTGCAAGCTTTATCTAGATTTCTCTCAATATCTTGTTCTGTTGACTGGTTCACAAGTGGGACTAGAAAAGCCAGCTAGTATGTTTTCCTAGTATTGATTCAAAGGGGCCCCAAGTTTTGCATGTCTCCAGCCTCGTCAGTTGTGGCAATTGAGCTGGGCTATTATGAGCATGACTTAGAACCTTCTAAAAATAAGGAAAGGGGGGTGCATTTAGTCTGGCAGTTGAGATACCCTCATACCTCATCAAAGTGCCTGCGTTCAAGTCCCAGCTCTGGCTCCTGACTCCAGCTTCCTGCTAATACAACCTGGGAGGCAGTGATAATGCCTCAAATAGTTGGGTTCCTGCCACTTACATGGAAGATATTGAACAGGAGTGTGACAGATATTGTATGGGGCTCCTTTTGGTGCTACCATTAGTATCAACCATGAGACAAATGCTCTATAAGTCAACATAAATTATAAACTGCATCTGCCTTCTTTTTCTCTAATCAGAAGTGAATTTTTTTTCCAAATTAAAAAAATTAAAATTGTTTTAAAATTTTCACATATATTTGTATATATTCACGGGGTACAGTGTGATATTTTCATACATGTATACAATGTGTAATGATCAAACCAAGGTAATTGGCATGTCCATCACCTCAAACATTTATTGCATTTTTGTGTTGAGAGCATTCAGTCTTCCAACTATTTTGAAATATACAATAAGTTACTATATATATTACTGGGCCATTATATGCTAGAATTCAATTCTCCTATATAATTGCATTTTTGTATCTCTTAACCAACCAGTCTATGCACACTCCACTGTTCTGTGAATTTTTAAAGAAATATTTCATGCCTCAAGCAGACTAAAATGTAATTATGGACTCTAATACTTTTTGAAACTTTTAAAATCACTATTATTTCTTTATACTTATGATGTGTTAGGAGTTTTGTAATTGCAATGGATGGCCCAGTGTCCAGCTCTGTAGACAAATGTAGAACCATACAGTATTTCATTGATCATAATTAATATGTACTTCTACCTCAGTCGGCTTGAATCAGAGCAGCTATTGCCCTCATGCATTTGGGGAACTCACCGAGTACTCATTTTGACCAGGGATATGAAGTGCAGCACAGACAGGCATGTGTACACAACAGATCTGGAAACAAAGGAGTTTCCATTTCTTTTTGGTGGAAAAGTTTCACAGAGAGATCCCTTGAGTTTGATCTTGAAGAAGTTTGTTAAGCCAAGGTTGAGTGTAGGCCTCAGTGGGGAGGAGGATCTGAGGGCACGCAAGTGGGTACTAAGATGCCAGTGTGTGGTAGGGGCAATGGCAGGGCTGTCAAGGCTGACTGAGGACGTGGGCCTTATTCCACAAGGGAAGGAAGCCACAGGAATTTGAAATGACCAGAAATAAAACTATCACTCTTCCCCCAAATCACATGGCTTTCCCCCCCCGAAAGTGTCACAACCTATTAGGGTTATTAAAAGCAGAAGACAAAAAGTGGCAACTTTTGTTTCTTTGTCATGCACACCTTTTTTTTCTTTCTCTACTTCTAGTGTCAAGCTTGTCAGGAGTCAACAGACATCAAGGCTTTTGTTCCCCAAGGCCTTGTATGGTTTTATACTGTGCTTTACGTTACCTGGCAGATGTTGAAATAATGAATGCTGCACTGACAGCAGCAAGGCTTGCATTCATTTACCGTTCTAGGAACCATTGCATTTTTACAGTTCATTCCCTCAAGGAAATTAAACTCATTTTCATTTACAGTTAAAGTTTTGTTTTCTATTTTCAATGTTTGAAAGTCATAGAATGTGTTGCTCCCGTTTAACATTTATTTCAGTTAAAAAAATGACATTATCTATTTTCCAGGCTTGCCAAGAGGTTAAAGAGCGAATCTCTGAAATCTGACTTCACCATAGATTTAAAACATGAGGTATGTCATGTTGTGTTCCATTAAATGTCTTACTAATCAAGAAATCGTGTCTTTTGTTATAAAAAGTGTCACATTCTCTAACAGTGCGTTTTCTTCCACCCACATCCATCTTCTGTGTACCGAGGTGATTTCTCAGCACTCGAGTGAAGTAGGTCCTTCTATTTTAAGCTCATTTTAGTTATGTTGGTGGAGAAGGAGCAGTTATGATTCATAACTCTTTTGTTTTTGAAACTAGATGGATAGGTCCAGCGGTGAGCTTTTAAAAAACACACAAAGTGTCATTAAAAGTACCTCTTGCCTCGCTGGGTGCTTTGGTTGCATGCTTCCATTTGCTGGCATACATTCCAAATGGCTGCAATGGCCAGGGCTGGGCCAGGCTAAAGCCAGGAGGAGCTGGGAGCTTCATCTGAGCCCCCCATGTGGGTGCAGTGGCCCCAGTACTTGGGCTATCTTCTACTTTCCCAAGCACATTAGCAGGGAGCTGCATCAGAGCTGGATCAGAATTGGAGCAGCTGGGACTTGAACTGGTGCCCATATGGGATGCCAGCACTTCAGGCGGTGGCTTTATCCAGTATGCAATAGCACCACCCCATGGGTCATTCTTGAGAAGTCTCCTTTTTGCATTTCATTTATGGGTCATGTCTGGATGCTTAGAACTGTCTTGCCTGTCCTCTCTGTAGGAATCTGGATCACAGGACACTGAAGGAAATCTTGACATTTAATGCAAGTCGATGGTGTTGGCAGCTTTCCAGGAGTGGAAGGGGCACACACAAAATTTTGAACTCCTGCTGTGTCTTTAAATGATGAAACAGCTTATTTGAGGAGAAATATACTTTTCAAAAAAATCATTCTACAAAAAGAAAAAATGATCAGTTGAAAACCAGTTTAAAATGAAAAGTTTATGAAATTAAAAAGTTTAATGAAAAGTTAGCGCTGGTATAGAGTCTCTTAGACATTTAACACACACAGAAGGATATTTATGAAATATGTGAGGCTGGCGCTGTGGCTCACTAGGCTAATCCTCTGCCTGCGGCACCGGCACTCTGGGTTCTAGTCCCGGTTGGGGCGCCGGTTCTGTCCCGGTTGCTCCTCTTCCAGTCCAGCTCTCTGCTGTGGCCTGGGAAGGCAGTGGAGGATGGCCCAAGTGCTTGGGCCCTGCACCCGCATGGGAGACCAGGAGGAAGCTTCGGATCGGCGCAGCGTGCCGGCTGTAGCAGCCATTTGCGGGGTGAACCAACAGAAGGAAGACCTTTTTCTCTCTGTTTCTCTCACTGTCTAAATCTGCCTGTCAAAAAAAGAAAGAAAGAAAGGAAGGAAGGAAGGAAGGAAGGAAGGAAGGAAGGAAGGAAGGAAGGAAGGAAGGAAGGAAGGAAGGAAATATGTGAAAGGTATAAGGATCAATTAACAGGGGCCTGTGTCGTGGCATAGTGGGTAAAGCTGCTGCCTATGATGCTGGCATCCCATATGGGTACCGGTTTGTGTCCTGGCTGCTCCACTTCCGATCTGGCTCTCTGCTAATGGCCTGGAAAAGCAACTTGGGAGATTTGGATGAAGTTCCTGGCTCCTGGTTTCAGCCTCGCACAGTGCTGGCCATTGTAGCCATCTGGGGAGTGAACCAGTGGATGGAAGATCTCTCTGTTGCTGTCTCTCCCTCCGTCTATAACTGTGACTTTCAAATGAATGAATAAATCTTAAAAAAATCAATTAACTAAATACCTATGTAGCCCATCTGGTTTAAAAGAGAGGATGTTATAAGTCACCTGATGCTACCTCTACATTCTTCCTGGGCAGAGGTCCTCTTCCACCTCCCCAGAGTAAACACTCTTGAATTTTCTTTCTCTTCCTTGCATTTCTTCCTATTTTACAGCAAATGAATGTGTGTCTGAATAGCATGTCATGCCGTTTGGCACCCTTTTGGGCTTTAAATAAACAGGAGCATACCACGATATCATCTAATCTGAGACTGATCCTTTTTTTTTTTTTTTTAAAGATTTATTTATTTACTTGAAAGTCGGAGTTACAGACAGAGAGAGAGGAGAGGCAGAGAGAGAGAGAGACAGAGAGGTCTTCCATCCAATGTTTACTCCCCAGTTGGCCACAACGGTCGGAGCTGCGCTGATCTGAAGCCAGGAGCTTCTTCGGGGTCTCCCATGTGGGTGCAGGTGCCCAAGGACTTGGGCCATCTTCTGCTTTCCCAAACCATAGCAGAGAGCTGGATTGGAAGAGGAGCACCTGGGACTAGAACTGGCGCCCATATGGGATGCCGGCGCTTCAGGCCAGGGCGTTAACCCGCTGCACCACAGGGCTTGTTTTCACTCAGCTGTTTCTAAAATGCTATTTATCCTAATCCTTAACATTTGTCATTTTGATTTAGCCCTTTCACTTCTGGAAGTTCTATGCAGTTACTTTTCAAATTTCTTTTCTTTTTTTTTTTTTTTTTAAGATTTATTTTATTTATTTGAAAGAGTTACAGAGAGAGAAGTCTTCCACCCGCTGGTTCACTCCTCATTGGCCTCAATGGCTGGAGCTGTGCCAGTCCAAAGCCAGGAGCCAGGAGTTTCCTCTGGGTCTCCCACGCAGGTGCAGGGGCCCAAGCACTTGGGCCATCTTCTACTGCCATCTCAGGCCATAGCAGAGAGCTGGATCGGAAGAGGAGCAGCCGGGACTAGAACTGGTGCCCATATGGGATACTGGCGCTTCAGACCAGGACCTTAACCCGCTGCCACCACAGTGCCAGCCCCTCTTTTCTTGTTTTGTATAATGCTTTAAAAATATTCACGTGTTTTAAAGTTTGTCCTTTCTACATAAAAATGTCTGAAGCATGTGTTTGGTAATTCCACTATCCGAAGTCGTGTGGGTCTGATGAAATTGTTCTGTTGCCCCTTGCTCGTGGTCCTCTCGTTTCTGGGGAACTTTGTCTCCTCTAAGGTCCTATTAAGTTGTGGGCTCCCCAGGAAGGATTTGCATTCTCATCTGCCTGCAGCTAGTGGCTTAGACGGATCAGAAACTGCTTGGAATTCCGCTGTTTGAGGTGTTTGAGGGCCTCATTCATAGGTGGCACACATTAGGGAGGCCTGGGTTTTGGTTACACAATTTCAGAGGTGATTTGGAGGTGACAGTTCCCTGGTCCCCTCTGTGGAGTTCTAGGGCCCCAGCTCTGTGTGGGGGTTTGCTACCTCCACGCCCTACCTTACTGGTCTTATTCTCTTCTTTCCCACTTGAAACAGTATCGCTGAGGTGAGCTGACACTTGCTGTTTCACAGTTTTGCCCTCGCTTTTTCCACACTTCTGTGCGAACTTTGTCATACATTTAAAATGATTTAAAAGATATTTTTTCCAACATCTTTAGATGTTTTCAGCAAGTCAGCTATTTAGCGTATGTAATTACCACTCTGCAGGGAATCAGAGCCAGGATAATATTTCCTGACATGTCTCTCTGATGTTTTAAAGTGTGTTCTCACCTAAAATTGCTTATCAATGACTGGAATTTTTTGGAAGTCAAAATGTTGACTCATAGTTAATTGTTTATTGATTGTCAATAAAAGACTTGTTTGATCCAAATAGAATAACCATATTTTTAAGTAAAGAGAAAAAGAAGTCCTGCTGGATATCGACAAACTGACATGTTTCGGTCTCATATCTCTCTAGAAGGTGTGTTCTGCTTCCCCTTGAGGTATTGTGTACCTTCCTGAAATTATGTTGGCTGGGTTCCGTCTTCATTGCTGTCTCCTGTCCTGTGGCAGGTTGCTCTCTACATCTGGGACAAAGGAAGTGGACCTGCCCTTACCCCAGTGCCCGAGTTTTGCACAGATGATGTGGACTCCTACTGTGCTACCACGTTCCATTCTTTTCTACCACTTTGTGTAAGTAATAGAAGAAAACCTTGCTTGTAGATCAAAGGAAAATTTACATGCTGTGTGTAATTTTACTTAGCACTTTACATACCTAAAAAAAAAATTTACATTTGCGCTGTGCCACTTAAGAACTATGCCATAGTACTTCAGAAAGTTCATGGTAGGGCAGGTGTGTAGCCTAGTGGTTGAGAGCTGTGTGTGCCCTGTTGAATACCTGGGTTTGGGTCCTGTCCAGGGTCCTGACTCCAGCTTTCTGCTAATGCATACTCCAAGGGGAAGCAGTGCTGACTCCAGTAACTGGGTCCCTGCCACCATGTGGAAGACCAGGACTAAGTTCCCGGGTTTGGCCAATCCCCAGGCTTCAGCAGTTGTGGGCATTTGGGAAGCAAATCAGTGGATGAGAGCTCTCTTCTCTATCCGTCCACTTCTGTGTTTCTACCTTAAAAAATAATTAAAAATTTTAATTTTAATAACAAGAGTTTGTGGAAAAAATGAAGATAAGCTCATTTGGTGCAAAACTATTTTCAAATCCATGCATAGTGTTTTCATAATCTGCATTTTCCATGAACTTTGTGAAGTACCCTTGTATATCACATTTAGTAATAACAACCTTGGTTGCTAATACTGGCCACACTAACTCCCCTTGAGAAGGGAAGGATGGGGAAGTTAAGTACTTGCTCAAGGCTGCACAGCTCGGGAGAGGCAGTGAGGGTCTGCAGCTCCCTCCACCTCCTTGCTGTTCACCCTCTGTGTGCCCACACTCATTTCCTTGGTTGATGACATAGCATGTGCTGATTGGAATTTCTGCTCCATTCCCCAGAAAGGTGACCCCGGGCATTTGTTGTGACACCCGAGCCTTCTCCACAAGCCCAGCCCCTTCCCACTCTCAGCAGCTGACCCTGCCATTGCTCTCCCCGGAGCCTATCCACAGCTTTCAGAAGGGACTTACTTGTAATGACTGACCTTTGGTCCAATCCCCAGGATGGGCCTGAAGAGCTGGAACTCACTAGACTGTTCACAATCCCTTCTCCCAGGGGAAAGTAGGTTCACCAACCTCTAACCTTGCTGTTTTCCTCATCAGTTGCACAGAAATCCGTGTTTGCCATTGTAAAAGAGAAATGCACACAACACAACACAGGGCAACAATGAGAGAGAATCTGTGCCATCCCTGGGGGAAGCAGGTGTTTGTGGACTGTACCCTGCTTGCTCTTTAGGCCTCCTCCGAGTGCCTGGAGTAACACGACGAAGCTGCGGTTAGTGACTGCCAGCCAGCCCCAGATGATGTCGGAGCTATGGCTGCTTATTGTTATAGACATAAGACAGGTAATAGAGGGCTCAGAACAGCTCCCACTCCAGGCCTGGGGTGTGTGATAAATCCCTCCACGTGCCCCATTCTTCTGCCTGGGCTCCAGGATTCTCCTCTGCCCCAGCTGGTTGAAGCAGTCTCAACTTTAGTAGATGACAGAAGCTCCTTAGTCTAGACTTGAGGAGCCAAGACAGGGGTCATAAAAACACGTTCAACCTCAAAGCCCAGGCCCAGGAAAGGGAGTCATCTCTTATTTAGCTCTAAAACATCCCCCGCCCCCTGACCCCCACCCCCAGCTTCTCTCTTTGTCAAAATCTACAACTGGGAAGAGGAGAAGAGAGGCAGTTAGCATTTATTGGTCACCTTCTGTGTGCGTAGTAAATTGTAGTAATAGCAGCAGCATTACAGGGGTTACTCTCATTTTCTAGATGAGCAGAGTGGGGTTTTGAGAGCTTTCTCAAGCACTTGCTGAGATAATGCACAGTCTGTTCAGGGCAGAGCTGGGAGGCAGGTCCGGAGCTGGCTGACGTCAAGGGCTGTGCTGTCAGCTGAACTGCAGTTCCTTTCCTTTCCCCGCCCTGGATATGGGCTGAAGTCCCTAATACTGGTTAATCTGAACTCTCAAGCAGGTGAAGTCTCATGTGGGTCTGAAGTTTATGCTGATTCATATGCATTTGTTTTTCCTTATTTTTTAGGGAAAGCCAGTGAAGAAGGAGGATATTTTTGTTGCAGTAAAAACATGCAAGAAATTTCACAGTGACAGAAGTATGTTTTGGGTTATTTGTTTTTATTGAACATCTTTTGAAAAGAATTTATTTGAAAGGCAGAGTTACAGAGAGGCAGAGGCAGAGAGAGAGAGAGAGACAGAGAGACAGAGAGAGGCAGAGAGACAGAGAGAGGCAGAAAGGTCTTCCATTCTCTGGTTCACTCCCCAGATGCTACAATGGCTGGAGCTGCACCGATCCAAAGCCAGCAGCCCGGAGCTTCTTCTAGGTCTCCCATGCAGGTGCAGGGGCCCAAGGACTTGGGCCGTCTTGCACTGCTTTTCCAGGCCATAGTAGAGAGCTGGATCGGAAGTGGAGCAGCGGGTCTTAAACCTTCACCCATATGGGATGCTGGCACTGCAGGTGGCAGCTTTACTCATAGTGCTGGCCCCCTTGATTGAACTTTTAAAATGCAAACTGTCTTTTGAAAGAAAGTGCAACCCAGGGATAAGCTCAAGACAGGGAATGATGACAACAGAGTGTTGACGTGAAAGCAGTTATTTAACCAGTACTCCTCATTGTACAATTTCAGTCACCAAGACCAATTAGAAAGGACAATTTTGTATTGACACATGGGTGGTCAGAGCCCTTTGTATATACTGTTTAGAACACTATTTTAAGTTGAAAATGGAAACGTTCAGCTGTGACAGTCTTGGAGACAAGAAGTGAATAGCAATCCGTTTTGTCGAGCAAAGTCTTTTTATGTCCATGCACAGTTACTGAGCCCTCTGAAGAGCATTGCAGGGATTTCAAGGTGAAAGAAGCCAGCACCAGTTGTTCTTTTGAAGACTCTTCATACGTTTTACTGAAGATATGTGTTTGCTCACCCGTCAATATATTGGAGAAAAGGAAACACTGCCTTAGAAATGGTGGTCTTTGCTGGGGGAAACCCTACCCTACCCATGAGTGGTGTGTTCAGGTTTTGGGTGTCATTACAGAATCCTGCTAACTGAGGGTGATAATGTTAAAAAAAAAAAAAACCAAAAAGCCCATTCTGTATATAAATAGACATCATTTCTTTTTGCACCTTATTTCAAGTAGCATTTTTCTGAAATTGAAAATTAGGCAGTCTTTTGCATGTTCTAATTTTAGCACATATTTTAATTTTTTCCATGAAAAGACTGTTGATTTTACCAAGGGTGTGATATTTCTGTAGGAGAGATTTCTCAGCCAGCTGTCATTTTCATGGATTAGAGCTATGGGGGAAGTTCCTTTATATATTTTATGTAATACTATGGTACATACAGATTACATTTTAAAGGGGAAGATACTTTCTAAATAACAGAAATTTATAATTTGGGATTATAGTATTGACTAAGGCTCACAATCAATTAAAATCCAGTTGTAATCCATAGTATGTTTTTAAATTATTTGTGAGACAGAGCACTTCCATCTGTTGGTTCACTCCTCAAGTGCCCACAGCGACAAGGGCTGGGCTGGTGTGGAAGCCAGGAGCCAGGAACTCAATCCGGGTCTCCCATGTGAATGGCAGGAAACCAATTAGTGGAGCCATTACCATTGCCTCCCAGGGTGCACATTAGTAGGAAGCTGGGATAAGGAGCTGAAGAGTGAGGTGTTGAGCCTGGACGTTCCGAAGTAAGACAAGGGCATTCCAGTTGGCATCCAACCATGAGGCCAAGTGCCCACCCTAATCTATAATATCTTAAATGTACATTAACTGTAAACTTTCAATTTACATTTATAGACTTTGAGTAAACATTGAATTCTAGGTCCTATTAAGTTAGCCTAAATAAATATGTGCATTCCTTATACAAGGATTCCTAAAACTATTCAGAATCAATATAATGTTTAAAATAAAATTTTCATTTATCTTAAGTTTAGCCTAAATTTAGTATCCTTTCACCTGTTTCATAATTTAGAAGAGCTTTGTGGGATGATTTTTTTTTTTTTTTTTGGACAGGAAGAGTTAGCAAGAGAGAGAGAGAAAGGTCTTCCTTCTGTTGGTTCACCCCCCAAATGGCTGCTCACTGCGCCGATCCGAAGCCAGGAGCCAGGTGCTTCCTCCTGGTCTCCCATGCGGGTGCAGGGCCCAAGCACTTGGGCCATCCTCCACTGCCTTCCTAGGCCACATCAGAGAGCTGGACTGGAAGAGGAGCAACCAGGACAGAATCCAGCGCCCCGACCGGGACTAGAACCCGGGGTGCTGGCGCCATAGGCGGAGGATTAGCCAAGTGAGCCGCGGCGCCAGCCAGGGATGCTTTTGACAACTATCTTTATAAACCCAGTTGTCAGAGGAAATGAACTATCCTGCTTTTTCTTATACTTAGCTTACAGCAAGCAGAAGTGTTTGAATTGATTTAATTGATCTTGAAGCTGCACTCAGAGTGGTGATTATTTTCGTAATACTAATGTTAGCAATGGTGGTAGTGGTGTCGTTTTCTCCCTTGAGACAAGTGACAAAGAAGCAGTGAAATTAGGGACCCTCCCTAATTATATGTTTCATATTCTACAGAATGAAAGAAAAGTTTAATTTTAACATAATTTTGAGTAATATAGCTTATTGCTTTCTTAGATTGCATAAGGTTGAGGTAATCGTTTCAGTATCTGTGAAATGCTTTCCTATTTGAATTTCAAGTCAGAGATCTTTAAAAGTGACAAAATCCTAAAGCTGGCTAGCATTTAAAAAATGATTTATTGAGAGAAGAGTTATTTATTTAAAAGAGCTACTGAGAAGAGTTATTTATTTAAAAGAGCTACTGAGAGAGGGAGAGAGAGAGAGCGAGAAGGATCTTCCATCTGCTGGTTCACTCCCCAGATGGCAGTAACAGCCAGGAGCTTCATCCACATAGGATACCACATGGATGCAGGGGCTATCTGCTGCTACTTTCCCAGGCTATCAGCAGGGAGCTGGATCAGAGGAGCAGCTGGGATACTAAATGGCACCCATATGGGATGCTGGCATCACAAGCTGCAGCTTTACCTGCTATACAATGCAGGAACCTCTTAGCTTTCAAAATGGTCTTCTATAGCTGAATACCATGTTGGCGACTGTTCACTTGGCTATGGGGTCACTGAAGTGTGAGACCCAGGGCATTATGACTCTCTCACAGTTGGGTTTCTGTGTCTTTAAACTTGGATGTGTGCAGCAGGGTTTTAGCGTGTTGGTGTGGCTGCCACTGTTAAGCATGTGGGCAGTGAGGCCACAGCTTCTGCCTTCCTCTTAGGAGAGAGTTCAGCTACCAGTTTGCCCAGAGAGCAAATGATGCACTAATCACATCAGATACAATGACAATGCCAGGGTGTGTCTCTTTCACATACAGTCAGTCATGCGGTATGCAATCATCATTGTTCTCACCTAATACTGCAGAGGAAGCAGGGTGTGGGATGGTACACAACTGGCACAAGCCCTGGAAGCCCGTCTAATGCAGGAGCCAGGACCCATTTGGGTTTTCTGGCTCCTAAATTCCATGCTTTTTCTACCTTAGCACAGATACACTGTCATCTCCTTGGGTGTATTTCAAACCCAGCACTTGACAAATCATCTTGGATATTCATGTTGATGACTTCAGGGCCAGTGAGGACTTGGCCAAGGACTTTTCATTTTCAGCAGCAATAGGACAGCAAGGAGTCGAGGCTCGTGGTGTCCTATATACACGGAGCTGGGCATTCTCATAGCCACTCCTGGGTAAGCCCAGCAGAATACATGCACTGGATGTTTTTTTCTTTTTCCCCTGTGCACACAGTGGTAGAAATGCTTGAAGGAACAAAGGCCAAATGACATTGAAAGAAAAAAAAAACCATAGGATTGATGTTGTTTTGCAGCAGGTTAAGCTTCCGCTTGCAATGCCAGCCACCCCACTTCCGATCCAGCTCCCTGCCAATGCACCTAGGAAAGCAGCAGATGGCCCAAGGACGTGGGCCCCTCCCCCTGCCTCCCACCGACTTAGGAGATCCAGATGGAGTTCCAGGATCCTGGCTTCAGCCTGGAGCAGCCCCACTTGAGGCATTGGGGAGTGAACCAACAGATCAAAGATTTTCTCTCTCTCTCTCACTATGGTCTTTCAAATAAATAAATAAATGCTTAAAAACAGATAAGGAACTGTATTTTTGAAATACTGAAAGCAGGCTACTCATGTCCATGGATTTCAAAATTTTCTTGCACCAAAGTAAATTTATCTTTTAGTTCCATTTCCCATGAACTCTTTGAAATATCCTCTTGGAAGGTGAAGCATTGGGCAAAGCATATAAAATTTAAGCTTGGAAAAGATGGCTGGAATTACAGCATGCAGCTTGATTGCGTTCTCTGGGGCTTGATGTTTTTCGCTGTGGAATGTCAGCTGTCAGGAGCCCATCAGCATTTTCTCAGCATTCTTTTGCCACTCAGTCTGTTCACAGGCCAGTCTCACTTCACACAGACTGTGTTTTTATTCCTCATGTTGTGGGTTGTGAGACACTTTCCTGCAGTCTCCCTTTAATTAATTAAAGAGGTTAAATTGCTATTTGCTCAGGCTTTAGTTTCTTCTCACAGTTTCCTGAGCTCTTATGAATAAACACCTTATTCCTTTCAGATTAAAAAAATCTCTGCTTGCCATGTTTACTGCTGTGACCTTGTCTACAAGAGGTGAATCTGAGCAGATTTATTAAGAGGAGTGTTTGGTATGTGGTGGTCTCTTTGGTAATGGAGGCTTCAGGCACTGTGGTACACTGTTTAAGAGGTGAGGCTTGAGTGGAGATGCAGCCAGATGGAAGGCCACACTGGAGGCACATGAGGTGATTACATGGATTATTGACGAGAGGCGGGAGTCAGGTGTTGCCTGGTTCAGACCTGTCCCTGGCTGTTGAGTGGCGTAAGTGTTACAGATTGCCCTACACTGTTGGTTTAGATCACCCAGGAGGGATGCTTTTCAGTCTTAGGTACAACTCAGATCTTTTATGTGTAGAGAATTTATTTGAGAGGCAGAGAGGGAACTCCCATCTGCTGGTTCACACCTCAGATGTCCACAGTGGCCCTGGGTTGGGGGCAGAAGCCCAGAGCCAGGAACTCTAAAAGTCCCCTACATGGGTGGCAGGAATGCAGTTACCTGAGCCATCACCCTGGTGATGCCAGGGTCTGCATTAGCAGGAAGCTAGAGTCAGGAGCCAGAGCTAGGTTTGAAACCGCAGCACTGTGGTGTAAGATTTGAGCATCTAAGCTGCTAGGCCAGACGCTCACCGCCACTCAGACTTCAGCAGGAGGAATCAGTACACTCTGTTGTGTGTCTCTAACCCCTCAGGGTTGGTGAAGCACAGTCAAGGTTTTACTTGGGGGTCACTGACTCGCACGCTGAGACAAAAGGTTCATTTGCCAGCCCCAAACAGCAGATTGCTTCAAGTCAAAACAGCCATTCACTTTTGATTGTGTGGTATACTCAGGTGTGATTGATGGAATATGTATAAAATGATCCGGTGTCAAGTGCAGTTTTCCTTTGAGATGGCTTTGCAAGTAAATTCACCAGGGGTAAAAATGTTTCTTTACCTTGTCGTGAGATACTTCTCTTGCCTAGAGTCGGGAAAACTCTAAGGAAGGTTTATGCCATCTGTGCAACTTGGGGCTTTTTTGATAGTAAACTTTTTAATTTGTACCAATTTGAAGTTATCTGTGGCAAACTTTCTTGAAAGAGGCATCTACTCTTATTATGTGGTAGAAGTAGGATTTTCTTTACTGAGATAATATATCAGGTAACTATGTTGAAGTATGAGGAGTCTTCAAAAATTTATGGAAAATGTATGTTATGAGAAAAACCTATGGTTTCAAAATTATTTGCACCAAAACAATCTTGCCTTTTAATTCCATTTCCCAATACTTTAAAAAATACCCATATGTTTTCCTGATATTTGATATCTTTAGGAATGCAATGCTTCAATATAACTTCAGTATTCAAAATACTTTGTAAATAGTAGAAGTAATTCAGTTTAGAATTCCAACAATTCTAATAAATTGGAACAGTATTTTAAAAGTTTAGCTAATTCAGCATCAACACTGATTTGAAAACAACTTAGCCTGCTGGTTATAGAAGACTTTTCCTTAGGGTTACATTCTTTCTCCTTTTTTTTATTTTTTAAAAATATATTTATTTATTTGAAAGAATTTCAGAGAGAGAAAGAGAGAGAGAGAGAATCTTCTATCTGCTGGTTCACTCCCCAAATGGCTACGACAGCTAGAGCTGGGCCAGGCCAAATCCAAGAACCAGAAGCTTCATCTGGGTCTCCCATATCGGTGCAGGGGCCCAAGCACTTGGACCATCTTCCACTGCTTTTCCAGGCTGTTAGCACAGAGCTGGATTGAAAGTGGAGTATTCTAGGGGCTGGCACTGTGGCATAGCAGGTAAAGCTGCCACGTGCAGTGCCGGCATCCCATATGGGTGCCAGTTCAGGTCCCGGCTGCTCCTCTTCCGATCCAGCTCTCTGCTATGGCCTTGGAAAGCAGTAGAAGACGGCCCAAGTCCTTGGGCCCCTGTACCTGCATGGGAAGACCTGGAGGAAGCTCCTGGCTCCTGGCTTCGGATCAGGGTTGCGACCAATTGTTGAGGCCAGTTGTTGAGTGAACTGGCATATGGAAGACTTCTCTCTCTCTGCCTCTCCTCTCTGTGTAACTCTGACTTTCAAATAAATAAATAAATCTTTAAGGAAAAAAAAAAAAGAAATTTGAGTAGTCTGGGCTTGAACCAGTGACCATGTGGGGTGTTGGCACTGCAGAGAGTGGCTTAACCGCTATACCACAGTACCTGTCCTACGTTCTTTCCTGATGAGGGGAGAGACAATACAAACTATTGAATGCTTTAGATGTTGCAAATCATAATATCATACTACATGAAAATGGCCTAGTCTTAAAGATTGATGGTCCCATTATTGTACCAAAGGAATACAATTCTCCTTTAAACTAGTTTCCATAAAATAGTCCTAGGCCTTTTATTGAAACTCCTGCAAACTACAGTTCTCATTTTCCTGATTATTGAGCACTTACTATGCCCTACACACTATGTCTGGTGCTGGGGAACAAATCAGACGAGAACATGCAGTAATTCTTGCCTGCAGTGAAATTTCTGTTTCCACTGTTTAAAAATAAGTGTTAGATAGAGCAGTCAGAGCTAACTTACACTTGATTTTGATCTTAATGTCATTTAAATCAGTGACTTGAGAAGGAACATCTGTACTGTTGAAAAAAGCTTTTAGTTCAAGAAGAATTGAAGGCTAAAGGCTGAGGAAATTGGAAGCAGAATTTGCACAGCCTGTAGGACCTGTATTGGGGCCCGAATAATGGTCTTTTTTTTTTTTTTAAAGATTTAGTTATTTATTTATTTGAAAGTTAGAGTTACACAGAGAGAGAAGGAAAGGCAGAGAGAGAGGTGTCCTCCATCCGCTGGTTCAATCCCCAGATGGCTGCAGTGTCTGGAGCTGTGCTGATCCAAAGCCAGGAACCAGGAGCTTCCTCCTCAGTGCAGGGGCCCAAGGACTTGGGCCATCTTCCACTGCTTTCCCAGGCCATAGCATAGAACTGGATTGGAACTGGAGCAGCTGGGACTCGAATCAGTGCCCATATGGCATGCCGGCACTGCAGTCGCTGGCTTAACCTGCTATGCCACAGCATTGCCGCCACCCCCCCCATAACATTCTTGACCTTTACCCAAGAATGAGCTTTTTCAGGGCTACAGACAGCAGGGAGCTCTTTCTGGATTACAGCCCCTTGCTTATTATATGCAAAGCAAACTGCCAAGGCAGGGCCAGGGTTGAGATTTTCATTGTGCTGAAATTTAAAACAGTGAAGTTTCTAAAAATGTCTCTTTTTTTTTTGTCTCTCAGACCTTAGCTATTATTTAATGCATCTTTGACTATTTTGACATGGAGAAATCTTTATAACCATCATTTCCCTATGATTGCAGAAAAATTACATTTTAACAATACAAGTAATATTTAATGGACAGTTTGGTGATAAATTTTAGCAAATGTCCAGAATTCATAATTGTTTTTCATTCTTAATAGCTGATGAACAATAGATTATGAATTGGTACACTCTTTATTTTGTATGTTAAGGGCTGTGTGAGGTGGATTCTAACTTCTCTGTCTTATGTAGCTAATTTCTTAAATTTTGCTTTCCAATGACAGTATTGCATATAAGTTATTTAAATTTGGGTTGCAAAAAAACAAAACTATATTATCTGATAAAATTTCAGAAAGTTAAATGAAGATTTGCTTCATCAGAGTTGAGATTTTCAACATAGTATTCTATGCCTGCCGAAAAGCTAAAGATGGGTTAAATGAAATAACCTATCAGAGAACAAGAAAATTATTTAAATACAACAGTATAATCAGACTAGAAACTTTTTCATGATGTGGGAGTACACCAGGAGTAAGCAGTGCTTGATTCCAGAGGGTACTGAAAATGGATTCATGAATGGGGCCAGTGTTGTGGCGTAGCCACTTGGGATGGCAGCTTCTCATATGAGCACCAGTTCAAGTCCTGACTGCTCCATTTCCATCCAGCTCTCTGCTAATGGCCTGGGAAAGCAGCAGCAGATGGCCTGAGTGCTTGGGCACCTGCCACCCACATGGGCGACTCTGATGGAGTTCCAGGTTCCTGGCTTCATCTGGACTAGCCCCAGCTATTGTGGCCATTTAGGGAGTGAACCAGTGATGGAAGCTCTCTGTCTCTTCTCTGTAACTCTGCCTTTCAAATAAATAAAATAAATCTTAAAAAAAAAAAAAAGCTTCAAGAAGAGGGTTTTAGTCCTGAGCAGTGATCAGCAAGTGGTGCTGGCATTTTTCAGGGTTGAAAGCAAGCTCCAGGTGTTGGAACACCTGAAGCAGAACAAGTAACATTTCCCTTCCTCTGTGCTGCTGTGCTGAGTCTTATGACTTCCCTGTTGAACGGTGCCAGTGATTGTCACCTGTAATTTTTCCAGTACCTATTGTAAAGCAGACTTGGGAGAGAGAGGCAAGTTTCATCGAATACTACAGTGACTACGCAGAAACTTCCATCCCTACTGTGGATCTGGGAATTCCTAATACAGACAGAGGTGAGTCCTTAATTCTTACACTCCTCTTTTTTTTTTTTTTCTCTTTATATACAGAAGATCAGATTAGTATATATTAAGTAAAGATTTCAACAGTTTGCACCCACACAGAAGCACAAAGTGAAAAATACTGTTTGAGTACTAGTTATAGCATTTTTTTTCTCTTTATATACAGAAGATCAGTTTAGTATAAACACTCCTCTTGTTAAAAATGCCCATCCTGGAACAGCTGTTTGGCTTGGTTGTTCAGACATCCACATGCTCTGTGGGAAAGGCTGAGTTTAAAACAGTGCTCCATTCCTGACCGCAACTTTCTTCCAGTGCAGACCCTGGGAGGCAGTGGTGATGACTCCTGCAGTTGGGTTCCTGCCACTCATGTTGGGAGAATGGGATTGAGTTCCTGGCTGCCAGCTTTAGCCTCAGCTAGGGGCCACTGCAGGCATTTGGGAAGTGAACCAGTGGATGGGAATTCTCTTTCTCTGTGCCTCTTTACTTCTCAAATAAATAAATAAACTTTTTTTTTTTAAAGAAAATGCTCATTATGTAAATATGATAAATTGATACAAACAAAGTATCTTATTAATATTGTAGTTTTCACCTTAGGCAAGTTTTCCTTTTCCTTCTTTCTGCATTCAACATCTTTGTCCACAGATATGGACTGGTTCTCTCAAATTAAGGGCATTATAGTATAAACACGGGGTTGTCCATTTACGGGAGAATATGTAGGTAACATTGAGCACATGACAGTTACACAGAGTTCTTTTTTAAAAGATTTATTTATTTATTTGAAAGGCAGAGTTACAGAGAGAGAGATAGAGGGAGAGAGATCGATCTTCCATCCACTGGTTCACTCCCCATGTGGCTGCAATGGCTGGAGTTGCACATATTGGAAGCCAGGAGCCAGGTGCTTTTTCTGGGTCTCCCATGTGGGTGGAGGGGCCCAAGGAGTTGGGCCATCTTCAGCTGCTTTCCCAGGTGCTCTATCAGGGACTACAGCAGAGTTTTAAAACAGTAGGGTTTTCATCCCTTCATCATTTGTCATGGCCATAATGGGATGTACAAAGCTAGTGTATTAGCTTCCCCACACAAAGCTGCTATCCTTATAAGTCTTCTGGTCTAGTTCACATTTTGTATGTACTTCTGAATAGAACCTAACCATGTTCTATGTGAGTTATATGCAGAATCAACTCGATCATATATGTAATATTTTAGTGAGTAAGTTGTTGGAAATAAAGCTGCCTTTCTCTTCAGATTGCGTGTTTTTTAGTTAAAAACATTTTTATATTCCAAAAATGGAAGTGGAAACTTGACCACTGATTTTTATATGCTTTTGTTAATTGTAATTATTTTTTTAAAGATTTAGTTATTTATTTGGAAGAGTTACACAGAGAGAGGTGAGGCAGAGAGAAAGAGAGAGGGAGGGAGGGAGGGAGGGAGGACTTCCATCCAATGGTTCATTCCCCAATGGGCCACAACAGCCTGAGCTGTGCCGATCTGAAGCCAGAAGCCAGGAGCTTCTTCCAGGTCTCCCACATGGGTGCAGGGGCCCAAGGACTTGGGCCATCTTCTACTGCTTTCTCAGGCCATAGCAGAGAGCTGGATTGGAAGAGGAGCAGCCAGGACTAGAACTGGTGCTGATATGGGATGCTGGCGCTTCAGGCTAGGGCATTAACCCGCTGCATCACAGCGCCAGCCCCCATGTTATTTGTAATTTTTACACAGTGTTCTTGCTGCATTTTCTTTGGTTCTGTGATTCCTTATTCATCTTTATAAGTAAAACAATAAAAGTGGCAAGCTGATTATCTTGTTCTGTGGAGAAGTTTATCTTGATTCTTGTAGGTCAGTGTCACCCATAATTCCTTGATTCATAGGCTACAGTATAAAATCAGATTGGACATTCTTGTGGTTATGAATTCTTCTGACAAGGGTAAATACATTGCTGAGTCTCCCTCTTTGTTTTGGGAACATTATTTAGATTGAATTTTTGTTCTTGCTGTTGACCTTGCTCTTTAAAGCTTCCATTTAAATTGGCTTTAATAATCATTTATTTGTTCATGCATTTCTCATTGGATTTCTTCATTTATTTCTAGTCTGACCTTATTATTACCCATATTTGTATTATATTTTATTCCCAAAGAAATTTGAGAAATTTGAGATGGTTTTCAAAAACTCATATTGTAATGTTTAAAAATACATAAACAGAGAATAAAGGAAATAAAGGTCAAAATGAGTGGTTTAGGGGCCGGCACTGTGGCATAGTGGGTAAAGCCCCTGCCTGCAGTGCTGGTATCCCATATGGGCGCCGGTTCGAGTCCCAGCTGCTCAGCTTCCAATACAGCTTTCTGCTATGGCCTGGGAAAGCAGTAGAAGATGGCCCAAGTCCTTGGGCCCCTGCACCCACATGGGAGACCCATAGGAAGCTCCTGGCTCCTTGCTTCAGATAGGCGCAGCTCCGGCAGTTGAAGCCAATTGGGGAGTGAACCAGTGAATGAAAGATTCTCTCTCTCTCTCTCTCTCTCTATTTCTCTTTCTGCCTTTCCTTCTCTCTGTGTGTGACTCTGACTTTCAAATAAATAAATCTTTTTTAAAAAATAAGTGGTTTAATGCTAACTAACATAAATTACTAATAATTTTTCTTGACTATGTCACGAAATTCTTAGTCAAAAGGAGGAGCCTATTCCTGTTTATCTGCCTGACTGCTCTTCCCAATCATTTTATTCTTATACTGGTTCGAGCATTGATTACAAAAGCATCGTAACATCTCTGTGGTGTCTGAAGAACTGTGACCCTGTCTTATTCAGCGCTGTGCTTTTAGTGCATGTCATTCTACCTGCCACAGTAAATATTTACTAGATAAGTGCATCAAGGCATAATGTAGCGCTTTCATCACTATTGCTTGTAGTGCCTGGGGTTCTCACAGTTCTTTCTGATAAACCCTACCTAAGGGAAGATGCTGGGCTTCTGTGATTGCCAGGAGGCTGATTGCTTCTTTTTTTGAAAGATTTATTTATTTATTTGAATGTCAGAATTACAGAGAGAGAGAGGAGGAGGAGACAGAAATCTTCCCTCCACTGGTTCACTACCCAAATGGCCATTCAGGGCTGGGTTTGTCAGAAGCCAGGAGCCAGGAGCTTCTTCTGAGTCTCCTTCATGGGTACAAGGGCCCAAGGACCTGGGCCGTCTTCCACTGCCTTCCCAGGTGCATCAGCAGGGAGCTGGATCAGAAATGAAGCAGCCAGGACTTGAAGTGGTGCCCATATGTGATGCAGGCGCGGTAGGCGGTGACTTTACCTGCTATCCTGCAGCACTGGCCCTCCTTGTTGCTTCTTTTTGGTCTGGACTGAATATACCAGTTCTACCTCTGCCTCAAATGCTCTGTGTAACCTTGTGGAAGACCCCTCGTTTCTCTAAGTCTCTGTTTCCTCATGTGTGAGATGAGTGGCTTATACTTCAGGATCTCCAAAGTTCCTATTGGTTCATTATGTCTGTGAACTTAGAGAAGGCTAGTTTTTAAAATTTCAAAGTATTAAGGCGCAAGTCAGCATCCAAGCTCTTACAACACATGAAAATAATTAAATAAATAAAATGAATTTTACATATTCAGAAAATAACACATTTTATGTTTTCTCATCACCTAGGTCATTGTGGAAAGACGTTTGCCATTTTGGAAAGATTTTTAAATCATAGCAATGACAAAACATTGTGGCTGGTCATTGTGGATGATGATACATTAATCAGGTAAGGAGTCATTCTCATTCTGTGTGGCTTTTATATATATATATTCATATTCATATTCAAAACTCTGATGGGCTCTATTGCTTGCAGCTAGGATATAGGGATGGGACTTAACTTACCATCTGAAACAAACCCCCTAAAGGACAACATATATACAAGAAAGCCCTTTCAGAGACTGGATACCAGGCAGCAAAGGCAGTGATACACGAGACACACAAAGTAAGGAGTGAGCCCTGGGACTGCCTCAGCTGGCTGCTTTAAGAGTGCCAAGCCATGTTTAAGGAGGGGGCACTAGGTGCAACCTGACGGACTCCTCTAGTTGGAGACTTGGAGCTGAGATTCATGTGAGATCAAGGCATTAGTTTGTGGGACAGAGTGCTGGAGAGAAGAAATCTGTACAGAATAATAACCCTGGAGATCCCTGGGGGTCCCCTATAGGCATTCAGTAGGGTATTGATGAGCACATATGTATGCAGAAACTACTCAAGGCTGGGAGAAGAGCCTAGCAAAATGGCTACAAGGGTTGCTGCCTGACACATGCAGGGCTCGGGGTAGTGCCTGTTCCTGCCAGCCAGTCTGGAAAGGCCATGATTCACAGGGCCCTGGGTAGAGTATGCACAAGAATCTTGCCTCAGTAGTGGGGAAGTGTTATCCCTCCGCTGAACGCTGCTCAGGTCCTGCCTAACACATCTAAAAAGCAAGACCCTGGAAGACCAAACTGTTTCCAATAACAAGTGCTGTTGAGTACAAAAAGATTTATACTAGTACAAAAATACTCAGCACCCCATAAGTAGGTTCACAGTCTGCTATTAATTACTAGGTATGTAAAGCAGGAAAAAAGTATTGAGAATAAAAATCAGTTGACTGAACTTGTCCCAGAATTGATGCAATGTTAGAATTATCAATTAGGAAGCTATTACCACTAAACAGTTATTATAACTGTATTCCATATGTTTGAAAACTAGAAGGTATAAATAAGTCTGAAATGGTACTTGTAGAGATGAAAACTATATTATCTGTAGTGAAATCTCTTTTGGATGGTATTAACAGCAAATTAAACATTGCAAAAGAAAATATCAATGACTATGAAGACGTTGCAATAGCAGTTATACAAAATGAAATGCAAAAATAAAAAATAATTTTAGAAAATGAGTAGCACACCATTGGGCTTTGGGGCAATTCCAGATAGCCTTGTAAATATACAGTTGGAGTTCCCAAAGGTGCATATAAATATTTAAAGATTTATTTTCCAAATTTGATGGAAACTCTAAACATACAAATCCAGAAGCTCAGTGAACCCCGGGCGCAATGGTGCCAGTAGCAGCAGAGCATAGCTGCCTCCAAGAATGCGAGAATGGTGCCCTCAGGAACATCTCCTCCTGCAGCGGTCATTGCCTTGGGAGCTGTGTCACTTGTGCCATCCCTCTGTAGTACAGCTGCTCTGGTCAGAACTTTTGCCAGATTTTTTGCTGGTGCTAATACCTAACTGCGCATTGATGTCTCCATGTTTTTAGGATTGAGCTTTGTTACCTTGCCCTTCTGACACCATCCTTGGTCATGATGGTCTCTTATCTCTCCTAAGTCATGAGGCCTAATAATTGCAAGTGTTAGGGTCAACCTCTCTTTTCCATGAAAGACAACAACCTCATCTTTAAGTTAGTTGGTCTTTCTGTTGTTACCAAAACACGGAGTTATGACTTCTAGAAAAAAGCAAGCATTTGGGAACATAAGAAAATATCTTGAATGTGAAACCTGAAAATGGGAGAAAGAAATTAAATGAGAATGTAATGGACTGGGGGCCGGTGATCTGGCACAGTGGGTTAACGCCCTGGCCTGAAATGCTGGCATACCATATAGGCGCCGGTTCGAGTCCTGGCTGCTCCACTTGCAATCCAGCTCTCCTCTATGGCCTGGTAAAGCAGTGGAAGATGGCCCAAGTCCTTGGGCCCTTGCACCCATGTATGTGGGAGACACGGAAGAAGCCCCTGGCTCCTGGCTTCAGATTGGCATAGCTCTGGCTGTTGCGGCCATTTGGGGAGTGAACCAGTGGATGGAAGATCTCTCTCTCTCTCTCTCTGTAACTCTGACTTTCAATAAATAAATAAATCTTTTTTAAAAAAAGAGAGAAAGTAATGGACTGAAGAAAGAAATGGAACAAAAAACCAAATTCATAATTAAATTATGAAATTATTGTACTGAGATTATGACTAAGTTGCGAAACACCTAAAAGTGAAAGAATTCAAATGAAAATTAAAATTTAATAAGGAACATGAATGGAAATTAGAAAATAAGAATGAAAATGGAATAAAGAAGTTAAAGGGTAAAAATAAAAATTGCTTGAAATGGTGGAGAGAAGTTCAATATATACCTAATTAGAGCCCTTGATTGATGAGAACAGAAAGAAAAGAAGACTTTATTGTATCTATTGAAAAGACCCACTGGGTACCATGGGCAATTGACCTGGAATTATCAGCTTTGTTACATATCCTAATAAAATGATTAGATTTAGATTTCAAAAATAAAGTCCTCTGAGACCCCAGGCAAAATCATGAAACAACAAATAAGAAAACCAGACTGGCATCAGACTTCTCAAAATAACATACAAGGCATGTTTTCAATAACCTTATGAAATCATAAATCGAAGATTTTATATGCAGCTAACTTATTTTTTGGCATTAAAGTTCTTAAAAGAACAAATTTTTAGTGTACATGAGCCCAGGGAGTAGTGTACACATGTGCCCTTCCTGAGGAATAATTTAGGGGAAGAACTTCAACCAAGAGAGATGAGATTTAGGCAGAAGCACTGATGGGGAATATTTCTTCTCTTCTCTTCTCTCTCTCTTTTTTTAAAGGTTTATTGATTTGAAAGTCAGAATTGCAGAGAGAGGGGCAGACAGGGAAAGAGAATAAAGAGAGAGTGCTTCAGTGCTCTGCTTCACTTCCCAAATAGCTGCAATGGCCAGCACTGGGCCAGGTGGAAACCAGGATCCATGCTCTTCATTTGGTTCTCTGACATGGGTTACATGGGCCCAGGTATGTGGGCCATCTACTGCTGCTTTCCCAGGTACATTGGTAGGGAGCTGTATCAGAAGGAGAGCAGTTGGGACTTGAACCAGTGCTCATTGGATGCTAGTATTGCAGGCAGCTGCATAACCCGCTGAGCCACAACCTGGGCCCTGGGGAACATTTCATGTATTTAATTGTGGAACTAAAAGCAGGGATGACAACATGGTAGAAGAACAGTATGTAAATGTTATATGTCCTGAAAAAGTGGAAAGTGTGGAGCTAAAAAAAATGGAAGGAAAGAGGGAAGTAGGGTAAGATTGTTGCCTGTTGTATAGGTAATAGATGAGAGTTAACAGATATCATGTAAAATTGACAGGCTAAACAATACAATGTTAATTTTTAAAAAAAAACATAGTAAATTATAAAAAAGGAACCACAAAAACAGATCCTCAAATATTTTTTAAAACAAAGATATCATACTGAATAGAAAAGGCATCATAGTAAATATACTATATGAGTGTATATATATATATATAGTATAGTATATATATAGTAATTCAAAGCTAAAATAACTTTATATTATTGAAGGCAAATATTATGAGTCATATTAGTAGATGTGAATGGATTTAATTCACCTAATAAATAAAATTTTTCAAAGTGGCTCATGAAGTAAATCCCAGCTCTGTGCAAGAGGTACATACAAACACAGCCATTCTTCAAAAAGTCTAAAAATATGGGGATGGATATTGATTTGTCAAGACATTTGACACAATGAAAGTAACAATAGACAACTAAATTCTTAACTCAGAAAGCTAGGAAAAGAACCCTGAAGTCAACCCCCAAAAGCATAGGGAAGGAAACAATAATAGATAATGTTGAAGTAATGAAATCAAGAACAAAAAAGCAGAGGATCAAACCATGAATCAAAATTTTGTTTCTGTGAAAGAAAATCAGCAGATTGTATTGAGTGATATCCAAGGAATATTGTGGAACGCCAAAAGCAAGGACAAAAGAATACATCTAGTTCTATAAGAAAGAAGGGGAAATAAAACTTACCTTTGTTTGCTTATCCTTACAAAAGTTGTCCTTTTAAAACCACAATGCTGTGAAGCTGCCTGCCTATGAAAGTTGTTGGTAATGGAATAGGGTAGAAGCAATCGGAAGGGAAGAGCACAGGATACTCCCTGAGTTTCTCAGTTTAGTGCTTTTTGTTTCATTTTAAAACAGCAGAAATTTATTTCTCATTGTTCTGGAGGTTGGCAGTCAGAGGCCAGTGTGCCAACATGGTCAGATTCTGGTGAGGGCCTTCTTCCGGGTGCCAGGCTTCGGACTTGGGCTTTGTCTTCAAACAGCAGAGAGGTCATGAGCCAGCTCTTCAGCCTGTCTTTGTAGAGCCACTAGTCCTGTTCCTGAGGATCTACTGTCATTTAAAAGTGTTTACTTATTTTTATTTATTGACAGGTGGGAGTGGAGGAACAGTGTTCACTTCCCAAATAACTGACAGTTGGGGCTGGGCTGGGCCAAAGCCAGGAGCCAGGATATCCATCCAGGTCTCTCATCTGGGTGGCAGGGACTCAAGTATTCGAACTATCATTTGCTGCCTCCTAGGCACATTAGCAGGAAGCTGGAGCAGAAGCAGAGGCAGAGATGGGACTGCATCCCAGGCACTGTGATCTAGAATGCGAGTGTCTGAAGTGGCAGCTTAATCCACTGTGCCAGGATGCCTTCCACTGGAGATTAGGTTTCAACAGGGACACAAATGTAACAGCTCCTGATCTTCTCTTAGTGTAGAGTGCAAATTACTAAGAAAAAGAAGGATCTTTTTTTAAAAAGAGATGGCAGAAAGCATTGAAAATTATGTACACAGTTTGACTTCACCTTCACCTGGGCCATCCACAATTGTTTTTTACATGTTTTTTTTTAGTCTGCTAAAATACAAATAACATAAAATTTACTATCAAAATTATTGTGAAGTGTACAGTTGAGAGTATTAAATA